CGTACAACAGTTCACATACACTTTGTCTCATGACATTGACTACAATTACCCCAATGCAACAGCTCCCCTCCAAGTGGGTGGCTTTAACAAATAGGAATTTATTCTCTTACAGTTTAGGAGTCTAGAAATCCAAATTCAGAATGCCAGCTCTAGGGGCTGGGTGCATGCCCCTCAACCTTGGACCTCAGCTCTGCCTCCTGTTCTAGGCTCACTGGAGCTGGAGGCATCTCTTAACATAGACAGCTATTGGCTTCTGAAGCTGACAAACCCAAGATTGGCAGGTGAAATGGCACAATCCCAAAATCGGTATGCAACATGGCAGGCTACTGGTTCAAGTCCAGAAACTAGAGATGAAGACTCGGCCAAATGCAGAATCCAGATGTGCCAAAAATCTAGAGACCTTCCTCAAAACTTCTCCTCATATACTGGAAGCAGACCACACTCCAAAGGCAGCTACTTAGCTGCTCACAGATTCCACCATGGAGGTGATTATAATCTCATCATGGGGAGTAACTACATCCAGCTGCCTAGCCACTCAATACCATGGTCCAGCCAAGTTGACACTCAACCTTAAATACCACACCAGGAAACAGAGTAACAGAAGTCAATGCAAAATGTACCCTGTGGCTTTGAAAAACTGGGCAAAGCGGTAGAGATGGGAAGCAGTGAAGAGATATGGGCAGCTCTGATGTGTAGAAAGGAAATGACAAGTAGATAGAGCTAGAGAACACCGTTTCCACCAGAAATAATCTAGGAGATGAAATTATTTGTTGTCTGAGGCATGGAGACTGATGAAAAGCAGAACATCAAACTTGATCATCTGGAGTTGCCCACCCAGGCCAGAAAGAAGCACTCAGTGCCATGCTGGGTTTGGTCAGTGGTTACTGTGAGAAATGATTTTGTTCCTATTTCTTAAAACATCATTTGCACACTGGGTGTGCTGGGTGAGAGTGTGAGAATGGAGTGTGAAAAAATTTTCAGTAAGTCCCAACTAGTAACTGGAAGTGTTAGGCTCTAAACTCAGGCTGCTCTGTCTAATCCATTCCCTGATAGCATTGTTCCCTAGGCGAACATGAAAGGACCACCATGCCCATGGAGCCTAGACTGGCAGACAATAAGCCAACATCTTGCCAGGCCGACCAATGCCCTAGGTCTTGCTGGAGCTGACTGCTGTGTCCACGGTCCAGAAAATGCCATTTGTCATTGGGACACTTCACTCCCTGTCACAACTTTCAAAATTTTCCCCTCTGTTCTTCACTTTGAAAGCAGCACCTGATGCCATTTGCAAATAGGCAGACATGCTACCTTTGTTGTCTTCAAACCTAACACTATGTTCTTATGAGGCCACCCTTGAGGACACGGGTCTAATGCACCACACTCCCAGGCATCCCTCAATTTCTCAAAAGTGTGTTTGTATGACACAAAACTTTCTATTTTTAGTTTTTAACAAATTAATACTTGCTTCCCAGCAAGCTTTGGCAGGTAGTATTGAGAGATCAAAGAACAAGCAAATTGATATATGTTGTTTTTGTTGTTGTTCTGTGCCGTCGAGTCGGCCATGACTCATAGCGACCCCTCCTAAGGCGGTATCACTACGGAAGTAGATTGCCCAACCTTCCTTCTGAGGAGTGGCTGGTGGGTTTGAACCACCAGCCTTCTGGTTAGCAGTCAAGTGCCTTAGGCACTATGCTACCAGAGCTCCTAATTGATATGTGTTGTTGTTGTTGTTATTTGCCGTCAAGTCGGCCCCGACTCATAGCAACCCCTCCTTGGGTTTCCGAGACAGTGTCACTATGGAAGTAGGATTGCCCAACCTTTCTTCCAAGGAGTGGCTGGTGGGTTTGAACCACCACTCTTCTGATTAGCAGTCAAGTGCCTTAAGCACTATGCTACCAGAGCTCCTAATTGATATATAAGGCCTCCAAAATTTAAATATGGACCAGGTGGCCACACTTTATATCTCGTTGTCAACTGTCACCTCTAAGGGACATTTTACAGCATTTCAACCTCACGGTTCCATCAGTCATTTAAAATCAGTCACCAAGAGAAGATGGCAACTCATTTGGTTTCCAATTGTTTTAGCATTGACATTCAGGTCCTTTATTGTTCAAATACACTTTTAGGTTCTACTCCACTCCTTGAGGAGATCTCCTCAGACACTGGAAGTGAAAAAGGATTGAAGATTTGGTCTCTGCTCCCAAGTGGCACAAAAAAAATTATACACACAATACAAAGTAATATAAATTGAGTTCCTAATGATATGAAAGGCACTAAGGTTATTGCAAGACAGCCCAGGACAGGAGCATCAGGTCCGCCTTCATGAAGAAGGCAGAGCCTAAACTGAAGAGTGAAGAAGAGGGTGAGGACAGAATGGAATTTGGACAAGCTTTTCCTAGCAACAGAGCACATGTGCAAAAAACAATGAGGAAAGCGGATGCTGTCAGATGCCCCTCTTTCTCCAGCACTCACATAGAGTGTCTTATTAAATGGATGGTTCAGTAATTGGATAAAATATGGGAAAAAGAGCCTAACATGGAATTTGGAATTAATTAGAAGACAGTCATCTACAGCATGATTATCCACAAATGCCCTAGCTCTGCCTTCTTGGCTTTCTTTGCTAAATCCTTCCATGATCCTCCTTGCCATCATGTTCCCAGAGACAACACCTTCTTGACACCAATTTGCAGGAACATGGAGCCCTCTGCTATGCCATCTGAAATAGAGGTCTCAGCCACGTAGTGCTGGCTAATGCCTCCAGGCTCTTAGGAAGATGGTGTGCTGTGCTGCCACCAACCCACCGCCTCATTTCTTTTTTTCTGAATCGTGACATCAGGCCGTCCTTTGATTTACATAGATGGATCAGCTTCCTCCTCTACTTTCTGCAGACTGACAGATAAGTGTTCTGTCCTTTAGGGGCCAAGCCATCCAGTCAGGGTCAGGCAACTAAGTCTGGAGGAATGCAGAGACTTGGAGAGGGTCCAGAGCCAGACGGCGACAGTGATTAAAGGATGGGAACGGGGCAAATGGAGGGCAAGAAGAGGGAGACTTGACAGGACCTACAACAGTTCTCTGTAGGGAAGCCTTTCAAGGTTCAAGACAGCATCCAGCTGCTTCCTCCCGCCCACCAGGGCCTGTCCTTAGAGGGAGATGCTACATTTGTGCTGAGAAAGAAGGTGGAATTTAGATTAACAGCTTCTGCCCTTGAGAATTTTAACACAAAAGTGGAATCCTCAAATAGGTGATGGAAACATGTTGCCTAGATCCTCAAGAAAAGGAAAACCTGTTTCCCTAGGGATAAAATAATACATAGAAAGCACTCAGTTTTACAGTATGGAGTCCAAAGGAAGCCCTCAGTAAGTGGCAGCTAGTGGTACTATTTTTCCTTCTCAGTCTTATTTATGCTTTTAAGCATAAGTCAATGAATGGCAAGAAAAACGTCTATGAAGTCAGACACTGGTTATCTCAGCAGGAAGGGAGGAATGAGTGGGAAGGGGAATGGGGGACCTTCTCAAGTGTGAGGAAAGGGGATGCATGAGTGTATGCACATGAGAAACTTAACCACACTGTACTCTCAAAATCATGCACATTAAGCACTTTCATTTTATACTTCAACAGAAAAACTTTTTAAGAAAGAAACCCAAAATTGAATCCACTCCTGTGGCTTCCAGCCAAACAAGAGACAGGCATATGAGCTAAACATTTACATTAGGTAGATACACTCCTTGGAGAGAATGATCATGGGAGAATAGAAGGGCTGTGTATGTACAGGGAGACAGCTTGGGGGGCAGGAGTGTACGGGAGGGAAGGGCACAGGGAAGAGGTAACTATGGGGAGGAAGTGGGAGGGGAGCTGTTGCATTGTGGGAAATGGTAGTCAATGTCATGAGACAAAGTATATGTGAACTGCTACATGGAAAATGAATTTGCTCTGTAAACTGTCACCCAAATCACAATTAAAAAGAAGAAGAAAGAAACCCTAATGTCTGCCACAATTAGAAATTCCATTTTTTTGTTGAGTCCAATAAAACCTTCTGCAGTGACAAAAATATTCTTTCTCTCATTGTCCGGCATGGTGGTCACCAGCCACAGGCAGCTACTGAACACTTGGAAGTCAGCCACTGTCACTGGAGAACTTAATTATTAATTTAATTTTGATAAATTTAAATAACTACATGTGCTGGTGACTTTCTTATTGGACAGTGCAGCCTTAAGCGATGGAGAGCCTCAAGGGCAAAGACATCTTTTTCTTTACATCTCCCCCAAAGCACCTAATGGATCAGAATATGTCATATGCACTTTGGGAGTCAAATAAATAACTAATTAAAAAGATATATATACATACATATATATATATATATATATATATAATATACTGCATAAAATATAATACTATGTAAAAATAAGTAGGAATGAGTTACAGATAGAGACAACATGGATTAATCTCCAAACTATTATTTTGAGTAAAAGACATCATAAGATTCCATTTATATGAATTTCCAGACACATAAGCAATCTGTGATAATGATAAATCATAATAACTGACTCAGCAGAGAAGGGAACAGACAGGAAAGGGACACATGAGAACTTTTTGGGAAAATGGAAGTATTCTATATCTTGATGGTGTGATGGCTACACAGGTATAAACAATTATCAAAACGCAAAACTGTGCTCTTTAAATCCATACAACTTATGTAAATTATACTTCAATTTAAAAAGACACAAAAAATACTTACGTAATGAATGAGATTTACAAAGCATTTTTCATATACACTTAATCTTCCAATTTTTAATAGCCACATATCAGCACCCTGAGTCAGACATTATTGGCATTTGACAAATGAAGAAAATAAAAACATTAGTCATTTGTCAACCTAGTAGACTCAGAATAGGCAACTCAGAGTCATGCCCTTGTCACCATGCCATGCAACCTTCCTAATGGAGGAAAGTTCATTTATTCTCAGAGCACCCCCTCTTCCCATCATGCCCCCCTAGAGACCTTACCAGCACGTTGCCATCAGCCTTGGGCTGCCTAGCCAGGCTCACTCCCATCCACTCATCATCCCTGTCCTCCCGGCAGGTCTTCCCACAGGAGGTGCCCCGATTTCTCCCTGGCAGAAAAAGAGAAAAGCCATACTTGAGTTAAGGAATAATGTTTATTGGATGCTTTTCCAAAGATGGCACAAGCCCAAATGTTTGTCCTTAGCCCACAAAGAGTTAAGGAGCTTGCAAAAGAATATAAATCAACTTCACCACTATGTACACTGTTTGAGTCAACCAACTTTTTCATAGCAAGACTTTCTGAAAGAAGGAAGTAGTACCTTGATTGATGTTCCAAAGCAAGTGCCTTAATTAATTCTATTTATTTATTTATTTATTTTTAATGTACCAGCAACAAACAGTTTGCAGACCAACCAGTTTCAGCAGCACTAGAAAACACCTCTCTAGGGTCCCTACCCCTTTCTGCTAAAGAAAATCATGACAACTCTTCATTAAAAAAAAAATTAGATCTTGATGGGAAAGGGTTATGAAGAAAGTGAGGGCTTGAAGTGACAATTAAATTAAATATCTCCCAAGGAGGGGTTGCTATGAGTTGGATATGACTTGATGGCAATGAGTTTTATTTATTGAATACCTACTATGTGCCAAGCATAGTCCTGTGTATTTACCTCCATTATCTCACTTAATTGTCTCAAGATAATCCTTGTGAGGTAAGTATTTTAGTCCCAGTTTTACAGGTGAGGGAACTGAGGCCTATGAGACTATGGAACATTTCTGATAAGTCCCAACTAGTAACTGGAAGAGCTGAGCTCTGAACTCAGGTAGATCTGTCTGATTCTCGCCACTGGACAAAAGTGAGATTTTTAAAACATCTATCGGATTATATCTTTCCCTACTTAAAATATAAAACCTGTGATTGCTTTTAATGGCCTTCCCTTTGTACACAGGATAAAATCCAAATACTTTACCCTGACTTGCTAGGCCCTATGTGATGTAGCCCCAGGCTAGCTCTCCAACCTCATCTACTCTCCCCTTGATCAACACTCCAACTACACTGTTCTAGCGCTGACATACCACTTCCTCTGCTTGGAAGCTCTGCCTCCCCTACTTGCCCAGTAGTGTGTAAAGGTCACTTCCCCTTTCCTGACCCTCCAATCTAGATTAGATCCATTACCCACCTCCCCTCTGGTCTTCCCTCTCTCAATTATTTGTTTTAATGTTTCTCTTGCCCACTAAAATGCAAGGCATTTTACAGAATAGCAAGAACCTTCTTTGTTTAATTCACTATTGTACCCCAGTGTTTTGTAAGTAATAGGTCCTCGATACATATTTTTTAGATAGATGGATGGATGGGTGGATGGGTAGATGGGTGGGTGGGTGGATGGATGGATGAATGGGTGGACAAATGGACAGGTGTGTGAATGATGGTCACCCTGAGAAGAAAAAGAGGAAAAAGTAAGGGTGCAGAGAGAGCCCATGTCCACCTTGGCAGTGATATCACCCACATTCTCAGAGAAAAAGCTCCACCCACCTCGAGCCATGTCCAGTTCGGTGCATCTCCGGTCTGGGTTGGTGTGGACACGGCACTTAAACACAGCCCCAGGGGATTTCACTGAAGTGCTGTACTTGGAATCTGCTTTTGGTGCACCCACAAGGACCCTGCACATCAAGAAAAAAGCACATTCTGTCACAACCACAGCCAGGAAAGGTGAGGCAGATGGTAAAATCTTCACTCAATCATGGGGTTCTATCTGAATGCTCACTGTAAAACCATACACCAGCATATGTGTGTGTGTGTGTTAGGGTGAAAGGGAGCTCCTAAAGTGAGCCTGTAAGATCATCTCCAGCCACGCTGAAAGCTTAAGGAATGGATGCAATAAACAACTAACATAGGGTTCCTACACAGAATCTATAAAAATAAAACTCCTAAAAATCAGTAAGAAAAAGACAGACAAACCAATAAAATAATGGGCCAAAGACTTGAGCAGGTACTTCACAAAAGAAAATATCCAAGTGGCCAATCAACATCTTAAAAAAAAGTACTCAACCATATTAATTATTAAGGAAATCCAAATGAGATACTACTTCACACCTACCAGAAGGCTAAAACCAAAGATATGGAAAACGCCAAGTGTTGACAAGGATGTGGAACAACTAGAATTCTCCTGTGCTGCTGGTAGGAGTGTAAATGTTACAACCACTTTCAAAATCTGTTCAATGGCTTCTAAAAAAACTGAACATATGCTTACCAGTATATTCCATTTCTAGGAATATACCCAATAGGAATTTATACATCTATCTATCTATCAGGAGCTTTGGTAGCATAGTACCTAAGGCACTTGACTGCTAACCAGAAGGCTGGCGGTTCAAACCTACCAGCCACTCCTCAGAAAGAAGATGGGGCAATCTACTTCCATAGTGATACTGCCTCAGAAACCCAAGGAGGGGTCGCTGAATCAGGTCCGACTCGATGGCACATAACAACAACAACAACAACATGTATCAGGAGATGAATAAAAATGTTCACAGATGAATACGTAATAGCCAAAAACTAGAAGAAACCCAAAGATCCATCAAAATAAGAATGAATATATAAATCATGGTATAAGTTCCCAGGGAAGCAGATACAGTCACACAACAGAATTCTATACAGCAATGGAAACTAATGAGCATTATCCAGTTGCAACCACACAGCTGTCATAATGTACTCACTGTCTGATTTCATTTACCTAACATTCAAAAGCAGGCAAAATATAACTGTGATGGTAGAGGCCAGGACAGTGGTTACCTCTGAGGAAGAGAAAGGAATATTTTGATGACAGAGAGAGGGTTCCTGGGGGTACAGCTAAAATTCTAATTTTTAACCTGAGTAGTATTTATACAAATGTGTAACAATTCATTAAATTGTATACTTCTAATATGGCTACCTGTTTGAATGTATGTTATTTTTTAACTCAAAAAGATTTTTAAGTGAATTTTTTAAAAAATGAGAACTATAAAGATGCTATTTCTCTTCTACCTCCCTTCCTTCCCTTGCCTCATGAACACACACACTATGTGCATTTGGAGGGACAGTGGAAAGCAGCAGCCACAGTGTGAGTCCACAGATGGTACAATATGCATTCAGCTACTAACTGAAAGATTGGCACGAGGAATAAAGGCCTAATGATCTGCTGCTACAAACATTACAGCCATGAAACCCTAGGGAACAGTTCTTCTTTGCAACACATGGGGTCGCTATGAGTCAGAATCAACTCAATGACAGCTGGTTTGGGTTGTTTTTTGGTTTGGGGTTTTGTTTTGTTTTTGTTTAGCAGCAGTGCGGAATTACAAACTGAATCCCATACCCCAACACAAAGCAGGGATAGATATTTTGCACACAAGCAGGGTTAAGAACAATCCTTCATCTTGAACAGATAAGCTGCCTTGGAGGTGGGTGTCCTAGGCTGGAGAAAGAGAGCAAGAACATGCCAAGAAGATAGAAAAGATAAGTTCGGGTTTGTGTGAGTACAGAACATGGGGGGAAAGATGGCAGTAAATTCCCCTCCAAATGTTACAAAAACAATTTTGACCTACGGTTTTATGCATTGTTTCCGGAAAGTAGTCAACTGGAGATCTATAGCAAAGAACACTAAATACCGCCCAGCAGGCACAGTTTGTGCTGAGCTATGAACCATTTCGAAGAGGACTTGTACAACAAGACTTTAAACAAAATCCACACTGATTTTCAAAGAATAGGAAACCCTAAGCTGCTGCTCAATGACATTATAAACTGCTCCATATCTCTAACTGCCTGGAGTGGGGATGCAACTCACTCATAGGGATATTAGGCACATTATAAAATATATCCTCTCCCACATGCCTGGGAATAGAATGCATTGTCCATTGTGTATCTTGGAAAAGGCATCCAGCAGGGTTAGAATGAAACTACAGCTCCCTGGGCATATGGGAAGCAGACCCAGGCTCCCCCTCACTCTGCCCTCAATGTCACCTACATCTTGAGATCTCGGTTATTCATCCAGTCATCCCTCTTTGGACTCAGAATGGCATTGTTCCACAGCAACTCTGGCTGGGCAAAGGCAGTGGACAGACAAGGACCTCCAGATCACACAACAGGAGTCTGAGACCCTTAAACAGGACTTCAGCAAAGGCTGGCAGATATCACAAGGGAAACAAACACCAATCTGGCTCAAGACACATGCTGTTGAGATTCATAGGAAGTGCCCTCCAGTGCAGGCCCTATCTTAATTCCCACTGCCCATGAGCTTCACATCCACATGAAGGAACTATGAAGGCACAGGGAGCGAGAGAGAGCCACCCCTTACTAGAGAGCCTTCTTCTGGGTCAGTCTTAGATGCTCTGTGTTTAATTCTCAATGAGGGAGAAGCCCTGCTGGGGTATGAAGGGAGACTGGCCTTTAACAGTAAGGGCACTCCAGCCCTCTATGACCCCTTGGCAATGCCCTGGAAGCCGTCACTCTAGGTTTTTGTTGGGCAGCTAGTGTCCCTCAGTTCTCACCATGTGGGCTGCAGCAACAGAATTCCCAGTGAGAATAAGGACAAACAATTCCAAGCAGAAGGGCCTGGAACACATAGACCTCTAGAAATCTCAGCAAGCACTATAGAGCACACTGCCTCCATCACCTACCCAAGGCAGTAGGGCTGACCCTTGGCTGATCTAATTCAAATGCATGATGGCACCCAAAACAAAACTTCAAGGAGAAGAAAGGCACATGACAAGATCAACTTCCCCCACACTTCTGGGGCTAATCTTTAGAACCACTGAGGTAAGTGGTTCTATAACGCCAGCTGTATTTTCACAGATGAGAATTAACTGCTGAAACTGTCCATTCAAACCAAACCAAACCCACTGCCATTGAGTTGATTTCAACTCATAGCAATCCTACAAGGCAGAGAAGAACTGCCCTACAGGGTTTCTAAGGCTGTAAATCTTTAGCAGACTGCCTTATCTTTCTCCTGCAGAGTGGTTAGTGGGTTCAATCCACTGACCTTGTAATTAACAGCCAAATGCTTTAACCACTGTGCCACCAGAACTTCTTGAAACTGTCCACCAAAACCATAAAAATCAAACCCACTGCCATCAAGTCAATTTGACTCATAGCAACTCCTCCTTGGGTTTCCAAGGTGGTATCTCTATGGAAGGAGATCTTCCAATCTTCCTTTCGAGGAGTGGCTAGTGGGTTTGAACCACGAGCCTTCTGGTTAGCAGTCAAATGCCTTAGGCACTACATTGCAAGAAATAGGGAGCATAAAATCTCTCCTCCACTTGAAAATTCCAATGGGACAGGGCTGGGTCCAAAAACTCCCACCAGATCTAAGCACAATAAATAAATGCCACTTACAAATCATTTTATAAAAATCACAAAAAATAAACAAGGGGGAGAATTCATTATGTGGAAGATAAGGGACATGGCCACAAGAAACAACAAAATGTTCTCATACTGAACCTCCCAAACTGGCACCAGAATCTGTTAGAAATTTCTGACAGGACCACTGCTCCAGATTCACAGTCAGGAATTTACAGGCTATCCAAGCAAGAATGGACGCTAGAGAGTTTAAATCCCAGGCACTGCTAGTCTAGTGCCAAGACTGAGAAAGGCAAAATTCATAACAAAATCTAAAGTAGAAGAGCGATCTGCTGAATTATTTTTTTCTTTCCAAGCCCAAGGTACCCAGTGGTTCTAATAACAATGACTGGCTCAAACCCTGACAACGCACTGGTTCAAACTTCTAATTAGTGGGTCAGAGAAGGTTTTCCCCACATCCTGTGCCATGGAGCCTGAGCAGTAGATAAGGGGCGTGTGGGTACACGTGTGCAGGACGCTCCTGGGGAGACACTGGAGAGTAGGTTGTATCTCTGTGTTTACAGAACACCGTGGCTTCCTCCGCAGCCTGGCGCTGCTCTTTACCTAGGCCGCCGTCCAGCAAGGCTGCTGCTACAGGCCAGCTGATGAACGTCTTTCTGAAGTTAACTCAGCTGGCTGCTCGCCAGACCTATCCCAAGAGATAGAGGAATTACAATGGCCCAGAGTTCAGGACAAGCCACTGAAAAGATGCCATCTGCTTTTTTTCCTCTTTACTCTCTGAGACATAAAAAGACATCCCAGCCACGGCTTCAAACATTCCCTGATATCTTCCTTGGCACTATTAACAGGAACATGACAAGATGTATCTCTCCTCTGGACAATTACTGTATAAAAGGGCCCAAGCGTCCCCAGCAATAAATCATCAGGCTGAGCTTCACCTTTGATTGTTACTCCAAGTGTGGTCCTCAGACCCACAGCATCGAGGACACCTGTGAGCATGATCGAAAAGCAGACTCTCAGGCCCAACCCGCAACCTACTAAATCAGACTATGCATTTAAACAAGCTCTCCAGGTGATTAAAGGAGGCTGAAAAGTGCTCCATAACCACCTACGCTGAACAGGAATGACAGAGTTCAGTTGGGACCAGGATGAACAGATCATCCCAGAGAAGTGAGGCTCTCCTACTGCATCCCAAGTTAAAGGTGGAATCAGACTTTAAGGTCATTTTAGAGACCTCTCATTAACTGAGAATTCTGGATTTCTTATCACCATGTACAAGGGAAGGGAAATGGCCACAAGAAACAACAAGCTGTTTCTCTACTGAGCCCCCAAA